GTGACTACTCAGGCTTTTTTTCTCAACCCATGCATGCATGTGGCTGACATCTCACTCACATCAACTGACTCTGACTGGTCAGGATCCTGAACAGTGAATCGCGTCAGAAGCCGTGCGGGCGCGGGGTTGTACGTGTGATGATGCTGGACGTGCAAAGATAATGACGACTTTTTGTGACTCGTCTGTTGGTCACGAAGTCAGCTGTGAGTCACCATGCAGCGCTAGACAACAAGACTGCCTGCTGCCATACCGTGGCATCTTGTGGAGGTGCAACGAGGGGAGAATGATGCCGTGCTCAACCTCAGAAAAGCGTGGTTGCTGCATGCATGCCCAGCTTGTCTCAGCCCTCGATGCTTGCCAAGATTTCGTTAGGCGCTCGATCGCGCTGCTTGACGCTGTGCGTCGGAGAATTACAGCTTCGTGAGCGAGAGAGAAGTGTTGTCGACGCCCGCATGCTGCATGGAGTCTCGATGTATATGTTCGAAGACCATGTCACCGAAAGCCTCTGCGCCGCAATGGTGACCATCGAGTCAGCTTATCTTGACGTATGATAAGCGTGGACATATGTACGCACGACTCGAAGTTGCAGGCGAGGTTCACCACTTGACTCAACTTGCATCCTTGTGACGCTTGCGTGACGGACGACTCGCAGGGCTTATCTTGACGTGCGACAGACGTGGACGCATATATGAATTCTATCTTACGACTTTTATGGAGGCAACTTCCACCATTTATCACGTCAAGCAGTTGCCTCTTCTGCGTTCAAACTGTGATTCCTTGTAAGTCAAGATCAGTCGATGCTTCCAATTTGATCATTCCACTCCGTTGCTACACTTGACAGCACTTCCCATCGCAAAGATCGCGGTACAACGGCTCGTCCCAAGCTGGTCCTTCCGCTTGCACGACCACAGTCATGGATCCTCTTCAATGTTTCGATGTTGGTACTCTGAGTCAAGAGGAGAGGCAAGCGGCAGCAGACGCGTGCGATGAAGTACTGTTGGAATTTTTCCATCGCTTGGGCTATCGTAACCCGATCTCAAGCGAGCAACAGGACGCGGAATACGTGGATACTCTGGCCAACATCGAGAAATGGGCGAAAAAGGAGCTGCAAGGATGTTGCGTTGGACCCCATGAGTT